CCCCTCCTTTCTTCTCTCTCACTTTTCACATAATCTTAACAGAAGGGCAGAGGGACAACTAATGTTTGAGCAAAAGCCACAGCTATTCACACTTCTGATTACGGTTAAATAAATGCAAAACATTTGAACAAACCTCCCTAAGCCCACATTGACTCAATACAACCTATTGGTTAAAGTGACCTGGTTTTACAAGAGGTTATCTGATTTACAGTATTCAGTCCTAGAAAAATCATGGGTTTAAAATATTTCTTAAAAAAGGGGTATTAAAGTAATTTAGCAGCCAAAGCCCTGTATTTCAGGGGATGGGTTTTTACAATTGTGAGCCTCCTTTTAAAAGAAAAAGTGTATTTTTGAAAAAGATGTTCCAGAGGAATTTTATGAAACTCCATTCTTAAATGTTTGGTTGAAACTCTGACAAAGCAAAAATCTAACATCTTACAACCATCATTTGTTTTGAAGCTCAGTGAAACCTTGCTTCTTTTTCATGTAACACCGGGGGGAAAAAAAAAGGTCAACTGTAAGTGGAGTACATTTCAGTGAAAATAATCTGCTTTGTATTTTCATATAGTGTCCTGGTTTCTTTTTCCCCCAAAAAAGATTCAAACCGCAAAAATGCTGTTTTCCTATTATAAAGTACAGATAAACATTACTGCTACCCAAAAATATGCTGCAGACTAAAATAATATCGCACCATGGTATCAAATATAAAATATGGCTACATTTTCTTCAAATGTAGCACGCAGTTACAGCATGTTAACATTCTGTATATTCTCTAGTATAAACACCTGTACAATTGGAACTTTTACTCACTCTTTAAAACAGCAGAGATCCAAACATGGCTTGTAAGCAAGAGGATGAGGAAGGATCTCCCCCTTTAATCTGCCATTTCTGCAGAGGGAGATTTTTAAATAAGAAGTTACATTGTTCTTTCTGTCCCCAGTCACCCCTAACTGCCAATACGTCTGCCAAATTGCCAAGCATCCTGCCAAAGTCAATACTAACAGTATCTGAGCATAAGACACTCCCACCATGTTAAACACAAAACTACTAAATTAAACCATGTCACAATTCCTTACCATATTCTATTATGTCTTAACATTTGGCTATAGGTATAGATCTTTCACTATAGGGATTTTAGAGAGGTCTTTTATTTAAAGATAACATTAAAAGAGAAGGGAGTACACCAAGAAGAGAATTCTGTATCAAGTTACACAGTACGCACACAACTTTACATGAAGATAACTGACTCCTTTTCCTACCCCAGTTACCATTTCTGGTTCAGATTTTTTGGCTTCATTTTACATACGGTTCAGTTAAAGAAGGGCTGTCAATTTTCTACACCTATCACTATGCAAAACCTTTACCAAATACATGAAAAGATAAATTATAGCTGACTGTATATGTTAACAGTCTAATTTTTTTTCAGTATCTATCTTTCTTAAGTGAGCGACCAGCTGGCAGCAGGCATTCAGTTTCCATCTGAAAATAGCTTCAGAGTTGGGCTCCTAAAATTTAATTCAGGCCATGCAACTCAACGGAATGCCATCTGTCTCCACGAAGAGTATTATTGATACATTAATCAACATCACCCTGTACATTTTAGGATCTTACCATTTTTAAGAGTCAGAATGAAAGTAACTTTTCAAGTTATTCAAATGGAAGTCTGAAGCTACTATACATTCTGATTGTAAAGTGACAGTGCTGCATTACCTAGAGCCACAGCAGTCCTACTACCAAGCACTTGTTTCTGCTTGAATGCTAACGTTCATTAAATGATTGATTATTAACAGGCAGAGATTTTGATTTCAGAACTTGCAACACTGTTTTCACCCCATTAAATACTACAGACATCAGGACAGTCGATGACTTTAGGAGACACTCATGAAAGCAAACCAAACCGCTTTCTCGCTGCCTCTTAAAGCGGGAATACCTCTCCAGAAACCAAGTTATAACCTGCCTCAGGCTTCGTATGAGCCACTTTCAAACACTGAGCGCAGAAAGCGACCGTCCCACGTTACAGCTTACTTTCTCAGCAATGCTGTATAAGACTTCATCCATTTTCATGCAGGTCGGGTCCCAGTCGTGCCCAAAGCGGATGACCACGACGCGGTCCTCTTCCGAGAGGATGGCCTGGTCCACCTGCCAGCC